AATATTGCATTATGGGTTTTCTCAATCATGGTTTTCTTTTCTTTTGTCGTTAACGCAGCACCCATGGCTACCACTCCCTTCAACACTTCCAAACAACCCTGCTGAACTAGTAGAGATTTCAACTTCAAGTGCCACAGACCGAAGTCGTTCACTCCGGTGAACTTTTCAATCTCATACTTTGTTGAAGGCATCTTCTCGACGCTCACCACACCAATTTGTTGTGAATAGGATGTCTTGAAACAAAGTATAAACGGTTTTTTTATGATCAAAAAACACACAAAGGTTAGGGTTAACAAAGAAAACAAGGGAAAACAACAAGAAGAAACAACAAGATTGGTTATAAACTCTTATTCTTTCCTTTTTCTTAGAACAAGATTACAAGAATAACAAATAACCTCTCTCACTTAAATTAGGATTTTATCTTCCTATTTTCTCCTTATACCAAGATGAGAGACTAGTATGTTATTTAAAAGAGAAATATCACACTAACCTAATGAGCTTTTTAACAATTACCCATTACAAGCTAACTTAAACAGTTGAGCTTACAAGCAAGGCCCAAATCAACATGCTAACAAACCTAACAATATTGACTAATGCATGTTAGAATAAACTTTGACTAAAACATGCATTACTCGCGAACCGACTTCGATCATACTAGAGTTTGATCCAATATCTCACAGTAAGTATATCAACTAGACAATAACAACAACAATAAATAAATAAAAAACAATAAATAACAAAAATATTAACATTATCTCAATCTAAACAACAACTAACATTAAACAACAACTAAAAAAAATCTCTCAATAAAAAATAATAACATCAACGATAAACCTATAACATCATTCTCAACGAACCTATAGTGTATTTATCTCAACCAAAATAACAACATATAACGTCAATCTCAGTTTAAATAACAGCAACATCAATCTCGGTAACATTATATTGTCACAGTCAATCCATCCACCGTTGTACTATATGAAACTGAATGCGCCTTATTTTTTGAAATTCATTTTATCATAGTTGGTAGACACAACCGTGGTGATAGAGTGAGTGGTACATGGTTTGAATCCTGGAATCTACACTTTTTCTATTTTTTTCCTATTATAAAAAGCGTGTGTCACTTAAATTCATAAATAAATAAATAAATTGAAGATTATTTAATCACAAATTTAATATGCAATCGTTGTAATATTATCTGTACAACCTTTGATCTTCCCTAAACAGAGAAACGCTATTTCCAACTATAATGATTATTGAAAATTTGCTTCAGTTTTCAAGACGGTCACAATGTCATTCGAGAATATTAACCATTGGAAGTAATTTTTTCAAGCATTAAATCATTTCAAGAAGAAGAAGAAGAAGGGATTCACTAGCTGATGTGTCACTTTCTCCATCCTCCTGTAGGCGTCAGGAGACACCAGTGCCACCTCCTGCTGATCCAGTGTCACCTCCCGTTGATGATCGTGCTGATCCAGTGCCACCTCTGGAGGGTGAGGATGCTGAGGATGCCGAGCCAGAGGGATTCGGAGGAGGTTCATCTGATATTTCCCTACTTCCTATATATCCAGACCATACTGCCAGACATATATGGGATGGAGATGTAACATTAGTTGGATTATTTATTTATTGTTTATGTCAATTTAAATTGTTGACGTTGATTATTATTGACATTGATTATTTTAGGAAAATCGTAGGTGTGTGATCCACAGAATTTTCTAAATTATAGGAGGAAGATTACTGGCTTAGTTCAGCCGGATGAGATGTAGTTTCAGTCGGTTCTGACCTTATCTGGGTTGAGGGACCTATGTATGACCGGTTACACTCTAGTCAACTACGAGATGCTTAATGAATTCGTGGAAAGATGACATTTTGAGACGTCTTCTTTTCATCTTCCCATGGTGAGATGTCTATCACACTAGACGATATCTCGTGTTTGTTACATCTTCTGATTAGGGGGAGATTCTTCGGTCATGGTAGGATGAGCAAAGATGAGGCAGTCGAGATGATGGTAGAGCATCTGGGGCTAATCCCGGGAAGGAGACGGAGGGGGTGGATAGGACTAGAGGTGTTCATGCTAGATTTGAGTTCCTAAAGAAGAGATATAATGACGAGATTGTTGCTACACATGTGGCTAATGGTGATGCTGAGCAGGAGGTGGTACACAGGGCTCATGCTTTGAGGGCATATTTTCTTTTTTTGGTTGGCAATTGCACTTTAGTGGAAACGAGTGGGACCTATACTGACGTTGCATATCTCCGTTACTTCTTGGATCTCACTCGAATCCATGAGTGCAACTGAGGGACGGCTTGTCTAGCATATCTGTATTCGAAGTTAAGAGTGGATGTCGATGGAGGACGAAGCAGATCACGGGCAACAAGACACTACTGGTCGTAATAAATTTTTATTCTTGAATGTTTTTTTTATCTTTTTCATTTCATATTTGCAAAACCATTGTCGATAACTTTTAATACCTGAATGCTTTCTATTTTTATTTTCATTTTAGGTTTGGACCCTCAAGCCTTCTCGCGCATCACTGAGTTGAGCGAGTCTGGATGAGTACACTGAGAACATGGCTCGTGTCTGTGCTTTTATCCCTCTTAGAGGGAACCAGGCGGTCGAGCCTTTTAGAGTCTACCTTGACCGTTTGGTTGTTGAGGATACCCACTTCAATAGTTACGTGGATCAATGTCAAATGCGACCACTTGATGACATATCTCTATACTCCGAATGGTTGGCCTGCATATCGACGTATCACTGCTCCTTATCTTCCCGAGCACATCATTCAGTAGTTCGGATACACCCATACCATTCTCAGACACCCTGTTATCTCTGTTCCTCCTGCCTTGTCTCGTAGACAAATATGGGAGATGGTTGTTGATTATGAGAGTCACCTGGTGCCGGAGAAGGCTCGGGCTACCATAGCATCGAACGACTAGAGCTACATCGACGGATACATCAGGTGGTTCTTCAGGGTCTCATATCCGCACATGGTGCAGACTGCTTTAAGAGATCCGCCGAGACCAGCTCATTAGGAGATTCTAGAGGAGCAACATGCTCAGAAAGATCATATTGAGGATGTCTTGTCTCGGTGTCATTGCATAGTGGAGATTGTGCAGGTAGACATTAACGAGGATATCTTCCCTGAGGGGTCTACTGTCAGGCGAGTCTTGGATGCCATGATGGCGGAGGCACATGGTACACTGTTGTACCGTAGACATCGCCGGAGGACTGGGGGTTGGTTGATGGCCGAAGAGGTATAGGAGAGGTTGTCATGCACACTCAGTAGTTGTCTGTTATTATTTTGATGTTGTATTATAGTTTGTACTTTATGTATGACATTGTTACTACATTTTGGATCTCATGTTGTACAATATTTTACTATTGTATTGCTGTATTATTTTCGACACACGCAATATTAGTCACTTATTAATTTGTACGTCTTTTTTTTCATCTGAAAACAAATACACAACTCATTATTAAGAAAAATTGATTTGATACACTTCGGAGATGTATCTCCGAAATATTCTTGTAGATACATCTCTGAAACAATTCAACAGTAAATGGGTTATTTGTGACATATTCTGAATGTTTAAATTTTAAAATTGTTCAGGATATATATCTCCGGAATAAGTCAACGTTTACTCAGAAATAGAATGCATCCGAGGATATATCTTTGAAAGCATTTGTGTAATTTCGCACACTAAAATAAAAACATATATGATACAATAAGAAATTGCCTAAAATTATCTCTTTCCAAGGCACAAATCATACTTATCTCCAACGATACTTTAACAATTAAATAGGTATTACATTATCATATATTATAAAATTAAAATTGTATGATAAAAATTAGTTTTAAATCAATAAAAAAAAGAAGTAAGTCTCTGTTTAAGAAATTAATTTTTTATTATAATTTTCAATATCAATAATAATTAACAGTAAAAAGTTATTCTTGAGTTATGGTTTTATAATATAAATTAAATTTTAAATATATTTTTTATTTCTTTACCAATTTGTCAATATCTATTTTCTCTTAAAATGGACTAAAATATTTAATGAAATATTAAAGAGTATCATACTAAAAAATATTATAAAGTGTAATTTTTTTTTCCAAATAACCTAGTGGTTGAAATGTAAGAACTTTTAAGTGTTGATTTATTAATTATAAAAATAAAATTTCAGAATCTTAACTTTTGAAGATTCTGGGTTGTGGCGCTGCTTATCCGAATCCAACGCAGATGTAATTTGATCATCTTTTAAAGAAAAATAAATTTAATATATATTTCTATAATAGAGAGAAAAGTGTATATTTTAATATTAAAAAGAAAAGCATATACTATAATTTGCGTATCGTAAGGAATAAGTTTGTAACAAAAAAAAAAGACCCGGTAATATCTGCATATAGTGAGTGGCACGTATCACATGAACATATATTTAACCAACACTGTAAACCCTAAACCTTTGCATATCACTAAACTGAGTTCTTCTCTAAACCTACTGCTTATTTCCATTTCTGAATGATCTGAGATTTCTCAAATCTCTTCACAGAAAGTTTGCTTTCATTGCTTGGTATGTCTCCCTCTCTACTTCATCACTATAATATATTAACTTCTATCATTCGTTTTCATTGGTATGAAAATTTTCAATATTTATTTTAAGATGATGAATACTTTGTTTTGCATTAGTAATCTTGTAGTAGTATATAATAATCATCCGGTAATATTATTTATATAATTGGTTTTCAAACTGTAATCTAGAATATTGTTTATGTGATGATATATTATTAGGGTTTGAACAATAGCTTGATTTTTGAATTGTTGATGATTGGAATAGAAGGTTTGCATCTTTTTATTCTTTGATATAGAAGACACATATGATATGATATATATGTACCATAAATTATTATTAGGACATTCTTAGGGTTTTTATTTTTATACTAGTGCATAGTTCTTATAAGTATAGAGTTCTAATCATTGAGTTTATTTTTAGAATCACAGATGGAAGATTCTAGCAATTGTGATATCGGTTGTGAAGAGGAGAGTGTATTGATGATCCCAAATCAGAAGACTACAGAGCTGAAATGTGACCTTCAAGCTCTCAATATTGACTTGCCTTCTAGCTCTGATGTTGATGTTAGCTCTATGGTTTCTATGTCATCATGGGATTCTGAACCCGAAAAGGATATCTCGCCCGAGGAATCCCTTCAGGATAGTAACCTCGAAGGAAACCATTTTGTTGAGGTGGAGAACATAGATGATGATTTTTCGTGGGAGGTGGACAATAGAAGTTACGAAGAGTTGCTCAAAAAGTTCATGGAAAAGGAGGAAGAGCTGAGAGTTTCCAATTTGAAGCTTCAACTTTCGGAGCAAGATACTATCAACTTGGCTGTTCAAGTTGAGAATAGCGAGATTCAGATTAATGATGTGTGTGAAAAATTAGAGCTGAAGGAGGTTCAAATTTTAAAAAGTGAGAATGAACTTGATAGTTTGCGCGGAGAATTGAATCAGAAAAATGATCAGCTTGATAATGTGCGCAAAGAATTGGAGTTGAAAGAGGAGGAGTTGAATGAACAAAAGAAGCTTTCAGAAGAAGAGATTTTCAAGTTGGAGATTAAAATTACAAAAAATTTAAGCAAGATTAGAAATTTGACGGAACAAGTTGATGTGGATCATAAGAAACTCAAGATTTTAACTGATGAAAACGAAAGTTTACGAAAGGAACTTGGTATGAAGTCATCTATGACTAATCAGTTGCAATGTCAGATTAAAGAGGAAAAGAGAAAAAGGGTTATATTAGAAAACTTGGTTATAATGAATGAGGAAAATAACAATAACCACGAGGAGGAGTTGAGAAAATTGAATTTGAAACAGTTTGATTTGCAGATTGGGTTCTTTTCTCATAGAAAAAAGATGGAAGCTGATATTGCAAGTTTGTCAAAACAGAAAAAACAACTGACCTCTAAACTAGAGGATTGTGAGTCTAGAAACAAGGAGTTAAAACAAAAACTTATGCGAAATGAAGCTGAAAATTTGAAACATTTTCAAGTTGAAATCAGGTATTTGAGAAGAAAACTCGATGAGAGAGTGATTGATGTAGAAGAAGCCAATGTCAAGATTGATAAGCTTAACGATGAGATATGTTCCCGCGATGGTGAAATATCAGATATGAAGAAATATATGGAAGAGATAAACACATCACGAGAGGTGCTGGTGGTGGAAGAAAATAAGTTGAAATTGAGAGTAGAGGAACTTGAACAAGAGTTGATTAAGCAGAAGAGTGTGATCTTGAATATGGCTGACGAGAAGAAGGAGGCCATTAGAGAACTCTGTAATTCACTTGAGCACTATAAGACTGGATATAATGAAGTTTTGCAAGCATATGAAGTTTTATATGAATCGTGGCGCACACGCTGTTTTAGCTTCCTAGTTTAACATTTAGCTGTGTCTTGTGTCTTTTGGTTTGATTTTGTTTTGTTTGTTAGATTTTGGATGTTATTGGTTTTTTTTCATATTTTTCATAATAATGTGTTTTCTCCTATTGATTGTAGTAGGAGAAACAATCTGAGATCAATATTGGTTAGGCATGTTTGTCCAATGTTTTATGTTTTTATGTTTATTTTTCATCTGAAGTTTATTCTACTTAGTAAACCGATTATTTAAGTAGACCATTTAAATAATCCATATTCAAATCTGGTTATTAAAAATCGGTTAATATGGTTTTAACCAAATTCATATTTTTAATATGGTTTTAACCAAATTCATAATTTAGACATCTATATCCAAAATAAAAATCAAATTAGTCAATTTTTTTAATTAAAAAAAACTTTGAATTTTTTTTATAAAAAAAATATTTTTTTATTTTGAAAAAAAAAAATATTGTTTAAATTTTTTTTAGTAAATAAATTTTTTTTCCAAAAAATTTTAAAAAATTATTTATTTTTAAAATTTTAAAATAACTATTATTTTTTTTTAACATCAATATTTTTTTGAAAAAATAATATGATTTTGAAAAAATCAATTTTAAAATAAAATTAATTCAAAACTAATTATAAAATTGGTTATGGATATAACTGGTTTATAACCATTTTAAAAGATAAAAACCGATTATGAGAATTGGTTTTAATAACCGGCTATTGTAACATCCCCTTTCTATGCTCCCAAATAACAAGATAAATCATTTAGGCATAAATTCAAAATTTTATCAGAGTACATTTATAACATGGCATAAAAGAGGAATATCACATTATCACAAAAATTCCACACAGTTATGCAACAACGGGGTAACACCCACAGGTATTCACAAATACAGTCATCATCAATCATGTTTTACAAAACATGTCAACAGATACATACTCAGATGCATCACAAAAGAATCAAAATAATCCTATCTACCCGATGCTACATATCAGAGCCGACCGACCAAAAGGGAATGAAGCCACGCTTCACAAAAATACCTCCAGCAATCTAATCTGCAATGCCTCATAGAGCATTATAAAACAGCAAAAGGGTGAGAAACAATATCATAAATAATAATGCATATAAACATATATATATATATATATATATATATATATATATATATATATATATATATATATATATATATATATATATATATATATATATATATATATATATATATATATATATATATATATATATATATATATATATATATATATATATATATATATATATATATATATATATATATATATATATATATATATATATATATATATATATATATATATATATATATATATATATATACATACATAATACTCAATAAACATAATTCGCGTTCTCACCGCAACTCACCTCATCACACCGTACATCGCAATGTAATCACATTTATCTATTTACAAATAGAACACCAAGCATATACAATATGCGTCAACAATGTTTATATCAATTCATAAACACACAAAATATACATATACATACATTCACACGTACATATATTTTCAAGCATACCAACCATGCCAATCATCCACAATTCACATAAACATTTACACTTATGTTTATTCACCATACATCATGCAAGATGTCAACATGCAACTCATAGAGACCGACACACGACTCTATGCAGATGCAAATGTGGTACCGACTTATTTCAACAGGTTCAATTGAAGAACCAAATAACCATCGCTCACAACCCACATGGGCACACGAGGTTCTGTAGATTCTATGCGGAATCAAAATAACCATCACAACATACGAGGTTCTGCAAATCCACCGAGGAATCAATAAATAACCATCGCTCACACCCCACAAGGGCACACGAGGTTCTGCAGATTCACCGAGGAATCAATAAACAACCACCGCTCACACCCCACAAGGGCACACGAGGTTCTGCAGATTCACCGAGGAATCAATCGACACAAGAATGCATACCATGATGCTTCACATGCAACATGACTCATGACACTCTTGAAATGCATACATGTTTACAAACATACTCATGCATTCTTCACATTCATCGCATATATTCATTATGCATTCAACATATATGCATCACAAAACATATATATATTCATCATACATTCACACCATTCATACATGGTTCACATTCACAATCAATCTCATCATGCATTTCTATCCAATTTAAGCAAATGCACAAAATTGCCAAACGGCCACACTTTACACCTCACAATTCATAAGCTAGGATTCACGCCATACGACTACCCACAGCACACACAACAGCATATAATCGGCCACCTCGGACAAGGAATGATCGCAACCAAAACACACAACCAATCCACATTTGGAAAGCTCAAGAAAATTCAATATGCTACTGCATTCGCCAGCCTTCGCCTGGCGAAGCCACGCAGCGAATGCTCGCTGGCCTTCGCCTGGCGAACTCCGCAGCGAAGCCCAACAGAAGCTACTGCCATAGGTTCGCTACCACGTTCGCTGGGATTCGCCTGGCGAGCTTGCCAGTGAAGTCCAAAATCAGCCATTGCCATAGGTTCGCTTCCCATTCGCTGGGCTTTGCCTGGCGAACCTTTGCCTACACTCGCCTGGCGAATGCTGGCGAACCTGCGTATATCAGAAAAATGCAGTTGTTCCAAAACACCATCCAACACAAAACCGACCGATTTAATCCAAACCAGTCCCAGTAGCACAACATATACATCACCCGACTAACCTACATCGTCTATTCCAAATTCTAACCGATAAAACTCATTATCTACCGATTAAACCAACTTCCGACCTAAAGTGGAAATGTAGAAAACAACCCAACAACAATCAATCTATCACATACATGCTACATACATTATCAAGATGATAGAATTCCTCACCCTTACCTGATTATTTGCAAGCTTGGATTGATCTTGATGGATTCTAGGTTTTCCTCTCCTTTCTCCCCTCTTTCTCTTCTCTTCCTTTCTTTCCTTTCTTTCTTACTAACTTTTTTCTCTTTTCCCCTCTTATCTCATATTTCTATTTCTTTCCTCTCAAATTCTTTCCACACACTAATTAATCAATCCTCATAAAATATCCACTTAACATAATTTCTAATGCCCAAAAATACCCTCCGGCCTATTTTTACCCGAAACTCTCAAAGTCGACAAAAATAGCACAATATGCACTCATAACATATTAAACACATAATTCCACATTTAAAATAATAATTCAATCAATTAAATTAAAAGGACTCAAAATAAAGGAAATCGGAATCGGGGCGTTATAACTCTCCCCCACTTAGGAATTTTCGTCCTCGAAAATATTACCTGATTCGAACAGCTCAGGATGCGACTCATGTAACACCCCACTTCCCAAATTAAATAAAATATAAACATTATAAATAAACATCAGAGTTTTCACCAAAATAGTGGGATATCACATCACCAAATTTTTATAAAAAAATACTTTATTAATTATTCTCAAAAACAATACAGCGGAAAACATTATTCCAACATTCTCGGCCATCCGCCAAATTTCATAAAATCTTTATTATTATAATTCACAAAAAAAAGTGATACGTCACAGGATTACAACAAGTTTGACATAAAACAATTAAAACACCCATATCCCGTGTTACGTATCAGAGCATCCTAGACTCGACTGGCACACCACCATCCAAGCTATCTAAGTACCTGGATTATCTGTACTTCCGGAGAAGCACAGACACAACAACAGCAAAGGGGTGAGAAATCATGATCAAAATATAATGGTAATGTAATACATGTAAATAAGGCAGTAAAACACACCAACACATCAACTATTCACCCCAACAACACCATATAACGAACCTACTGTTCAAATTACAATATAACATATTATAATGCAATTATGCAACACAACACCATGCATGCGGTACCGACTCATTGGTTCATTCAATCGAACCTGGATAGATCACTTACGCTCCTCCTGAGACATGATCTATCCCTCACCATTCTCCACAAAGGAGTACGGATGAATCACTTACGCTCCTCCTGAGACATGATTCATCCCACCAAAACACCATGATATGCACACACCAATGCATAACTACCATAATTAGGCACTCAAAGTGCACACGATCCTCCTGATCATATCATCATACATCAATGCATATATGTACAGATATAACATACACCAACACCGTATAGATCAATCAGATAGTAAACAACTTCATACTATAACACCAGATATAACCACATCCCAACACTCGGGAACGCACGATCCTACTGATCACTACATATATATACATTAACTAATTGTTCACCAACAATATCAAGGAAAATGAGTATCATCACCAAGTAAACAAGTTCATACTTTATCACCAAGATATAAACACGTCCCACCACTCGGGAATACACGATCCTACTGATCACTACACCATGCTTCGCATGATTCATACACCATCTAATTATCCATTTAAATAATTAGTAACAAAAATCACATACTATCACCGAGTACTCACTCTATAACACTCAATCATCTCCCCTATAATCAACAAAGTCCAAGGGCACTACACTCTTAGCGCACACAACATAACAGCATAGAAAAACCACATTCTGCTACGCTCGCTACACCCTCGCTAGGCGAGCTCCCAGCAAATGCTCGCTACCTGTTCGCTTAACGAACCTCCTCGTGAATGACAGCAGTGGCTACTGTAATGATTCTCTATCCAACTCGCCACAGCGAATACCCAGCGAATACTCGCTACCTGTTCGCTTAACGAACCTCCTCGCGAAGGCAAACAGAACCTACTGGACTCACTCGCTACCTCACTCGCTAGGCGAGCACCTAGCAAACGCTCGCTGCCTTCTCGCTAAGCGAAGTGCTAGCGAGTTGCCTGCGACTTCTCAAGTTCTCACAGTTCAGAATTCTCACTCTTCTCCGATTCAAGCCTATTCTATAACATCCACTTCCTATACTATCCGTATTACAACCAATGCATATTAGGCTTATCAATCTTCCTATAATTCTACTCCAGATCA